GAGTTCCAGGAGCAGAGACACACAGTGTGGAGCAGGAGGATTATCAGAGCTGATCTGGAGGTGACACTTTTCAAAGATTTTATTATGTGTTTCTCTGGACTAGAATGTTTTCATTGTTAAAACATGTTTGTGGTGTTTTATTTGAAATTAGAGTTAATGTCAGGACTGTTTCCATGAAACAAATAGTCTTTGACTGTCCATCTACAAGAGTGTGACAGTTGTACTCAGATGTGAATGTGTTTGTTCCAGAGTCGTCCTACAAACACAGAGACGTCCAGGTTCTGCTGGAGCTGAGGGGAAGTTCATGAATGTTACAGCTGATGTTTCAGGAAAAAGGAAGATGTTTGAAAACCAACAAAACACAGACCACAGATGAACAAAGTAAGTAAACCAACTAAAATGATTTTAAAATTTTTCAAAATGAACTTCCTGTTGAAACAGTTTTTGTGTTTCTACAGGGTGATGTGGCACTTGGAGACTTTATACCAGATGCCCTCCCTGTTACTGCGTTTAGAGGAAGAAAAGCAGCACATGGTGAGTTTTGTTTCTGCAGATACACTTCTAATGTTCTTGTGATTCTGTTCTGGTCCATTATAGGTCCTTTAAATGTATTTAAACATGTAGAACAGAGTAGATCATCAGAATGTGATCATCATGTGTTATTCTGTGTCCACAGAGACCAGAGCTTCTTCACTGGAATAAATCTTCACACTGTCCAGCTCCAAACTGTGTGTCTCTGTACTTGTGTCTCTGTGTGTTTGATTCTGTTTAAGACAAGACAGAACTGTGGAAAACTAAAGACTGTTTTTGTTTTCTTTTACAGAATTAGATCAATTAAATTAAATTATACATACTTATACATTTCACAATAAGGTAACATAAGATAAATATGCATATTCAGCAGGATTTGATCAAATTTCATCAACATGAAAAAGTGATGTTCATGTTCTGAGAAAAATATGTGTAGAGGAGATCGAAAAAAGTTTCAAAGCCTAAACATAATTTTATTGCGTGCAGCCGCTGTCCAGAACTTTTTTATGCAAATCCAGCTACTTTTTTTTTTCAGTGCATGAATAGATAAAACATTTACCCCAGGACTGAGTTCCCGGACGACAGTGGCCAAATAAAGATCCAATATTGGTGGATGTTTTTTGTTTCCAGGTTCAACCGCTGACACAAACCAGAGCCACTGTTCTGAACGTCCCTCATCCTGTGTTCAGACGCTTCATCGAGGTCACGTTTACATGGAAACTCTACGGATTTACACTGTGGCCCTCGAGGAGCAGGACGACACGACTGCACACGACACGAGCCGCCATGATCCTCACTCGTCCATGAGTCGGGGGTCTGAGTCCAAGGGTTTCATACTATCAACTCTTAGTATTTGAGAAAAATAAATCTCACTGAACATTTGCCGGAAATTTAAAATTTTGCAGTTTTTTTTTTTTTTTTTAACTTTAATAAATCAGATTTGGAATTACATATCAAGAAATCCTGTGGGAAAAAAAAAAAAAATCTTTAAAGGGCCCATACTGTGTCCTAATGCAGTATGAAGTGTATTTCACCAGCAGATGGCGCCCTCCCCTGTGCTCCAGGACTAAACCAGGACTGAACCAGGACTGAACCAGGACTACCAGGACCGAACCAGGACTGAACCAGGGAACCTGAACCAGGACTACTGAACCAGGAACCAGGAAACCAGGACTGAACCAGGACTGAACCAGGACCAGGAAACCAGGACCAAACAACAACTGAACCAGGACTAAACCAGGACTAAACCAGGAACCAAACCAGGACTAAACCAGGACTAAACCAGGACCAAACCAGGACTGAAACCAGGACTAAACCAGGACTAAACCAGACTAAACCAGGAACCAGGACTAAACCAGGACCGAACCAGGACAAACAGGGTCTAAACCAGGTGTAAACCAGGACTAAACAGACAAACCAAGACTAAACAGGACTAAACCAGGACTAAACCAGGACTAAACCAGGACTAAACCAGGACTAAACCAGGACTAAACCAGGACTAAACCAGGACTAAACCAGGATTAAACCGGCGTAAAAGTGCAGGTTTTCTGTGTTAAACGTGTGAATGAAAAAGGAACTCAACTCCAGGTCTGTTGTTTGTGATGAGGAAACCAGGATTAAATCAAGATTAAACCAGGACTAAACTAGAGATCACTAGATTACTCAAACACGGAGGAGGAATTTTTGATGATTAAACATTATTTCCCTGTAAATGGTTTGTATAAACAACATTTGTCTGAGGCTGCGCTGGGGTTTTCTCTGTCGAGTCTCCGGGACATAAAGACGTCTTTATGAACGACACAAACAGACACAAGCTCATGTGACGAGACTAGACCCGGTTTAGTCCTGGTTTGGTCCTGGTGTAGTCCTGGTTTAGTCCTGGTTTAGTCCTGGTTTAGTCCTGTTCAGTCCTGGTTAGTCCAGTCCTGTTTAGTCCTGGTTTAGTCCTGGTTAGTCCTTTAGTCCTGGTTTAGTCCTGGTTTAGTCCTGGTTTAGTCCTGTTTAGTCCTGGTTTAGTCCTGGTTTTAGTCCTGTTTAGTCCTGGTTTAGTCCTGGTTTGTCTGGTTAGTCCTGGTTCAGTCCTGGTTTAGTCCTGGTTTAGTCCTGGTTAGTCCTGGTTTAGTCCTGTGGTTTAGTCCTGGTTTAGTCCTGGTTTAGTCCTGGTTTAGTTGTAGTCCTGGTTAGTCCAGTCCTTAGTTTAGTCCTGGTTTAGTCCTGTTCAGTCCTGGTTTAGTCCTGGTTTAGTCCTGGTTTAGTCCAGTTCAGTCCTGGTTGTAGTCCTGGTTCAGTCCAGTCCTGGTTTAGTCCTGGTTTAGTCCTGGTTTAGTCCTGGTCCTGGTTAGTCCTGGTTTAGTCCTGGTTAGTCCTGGTTTTAGTCCTGGTTCAGTCCTGGTTTAGTCCCAGTTCAGTCCTGGTTTAGTCCTGGTTGTTTAGTCCTGGTTTAGTCCTGGTTAGTCCTGGTGTTAGTCCTGGTTTAGTCCTGGTTTAGTCCTGGTTTAGTCCTGGTTTAGTCCTGGTTTAGTCCTGGTTTAGTCCTGGTTCAGTCCTGGTTTAGTCCTGGTTTAGTCCTGGTTTAGTCCTGGTTGTAGTCCTGGTTAGTCCTGGTTCAGTCCTGGTCCTGGTTTAGTCCTGGTTTAGTCCTGGTTTAGTCCTGGTTTAGTCCTGGTTTAGTCCTGGTTTAGTCTGGTTTAGTCTTGTTTTGTGTTGGTCGTGTGATGGAGCAGATGACACAGTGAACAAACCCGGACGCATCTGCATAGAGGAGCTATTCTTCTGTCCCAACTGCCCCCTCCTCCTCTGCCTCTAAACACCCCCTAAACCTCCTAAACCAGGTCCAAACCAGGTCCTAAACCAGGTCTAAACAGGGTCTAAACAGGTCTAAACCAGGTCTAAACCAGGTAAACCAGGTAAACCAGGTCTAAACCAGGTCTAAACCAGGTCTAAACCAGGTCCAAAACCAGGTCCAAACCAGGTCAAACCAGGTAAACAGGGTCTAAACCAGGTCTAAACCAGGTCCAAAACAGGGTCAGGGTCTAAACCAGGGTCTAAACCAGGTCCAAACCAGGTAACAGGGTCAAACCAGGTCTAAACCAGGTCTAAACAGGTCTAAACCAGGTCTAAACCAGGTCTAAACCAGGACTAAACAGGGTCTAAACCAGGTCTAAAACCAGGACTAAACCAGGTCTAAACCAGGGGGTCTAAAACCAGGTCTAAACCAGGTCCAAACCAGGGTCTAAAAAAACCAGGTCTAAAAACCAGGGTCTAAACAGGGTCTAAACCAGGTCTAAACCAGGTCTAAACCAGGTCTAAACCAGGTCCAAACCAGGTCTAAACAGGGTCTAAACCAGGGTCTAAACAGGTCTAAACAGGGTCTAAACCAGGACTAAACCAGGACTAAATCAGGTCTTTTCAGTTCATTTGGATATTTTCATAAATGATAAATTGTCTTATAATGATCAACAGATACATAAAGGCAATTATTTTACAGTACTTTTCACAAATATAATCTAAAAATAAATAGATAAATAAATAAAAATCATTTTCCGAAGAGGAGTGGGGAGAATTTGGAAAAACGATGGTCTAGTTTCGATACTACTCTTTTTAAAGTTACAATCCACCTTCCCTTATTACATTATTTTAATTATATATATATAGACCTGGTTTAGACCTGGTTTAAACCTGGTTTAGACCTGGTTTAGTCCTGGTTTAGACCTGGTTTAGACCTGGTTTAGACCTGGTTTAGTCCTGGTTTAGTCCTGGTTTAGTTTAGTCCTGGTTTACCTGGTTTAGTCCTGGTTTAGTCTGTTTAGACCTGGTTTAGACCTGTTTAGACCTGTTTAGACCTGTTTATTTAGTCCTGGTTTCCTTTTAGACCTGTTTAGACCTATTTATCCTGGTTTATCCTGGTTTAGACCTGGTTTAGTCTTGTTTAAACCTGGTTTAGACCTGGTTTAGACCTGGATTAGTCCTGGTTTAGACCTGGTTTAGTCCTGGTTTAGTCCTGCTTTAGTCCTGGTTTAGACCTGGTTTAGACCTGGTTTAGTTCTTGTTTAGACCTGGTTTAGACCTGTTTAGTTTAGTTCCTTGGTTTAGACCTGGTTTAGTCCTGGTTTAGACCTGGTTTAGTCCTGGTTTAGACCTGGTTTAGTCCTGGTTTAGACCTGGTTTAGTCCTGGTTTAGACCTGGTTTAGACCTGGTTTAGTCCTGGTTTAGGACCTGGTTTAGTCTGTTTAGTCCTGGTTTAGTCCTGGTTTAGACCTGGTTTAATCCTGGTTTAGACCTGGTTTAGTCCTGGTTTAGACCTGGTTTAGTCCTTGTATAGACCCTGTTTAGACCTGGTTTAGACCTGGTTTAGGTTAGTCCTGGTTTAGACCTGGTTTAGTCCTGGTTCTGGCTGCTAAAAGTTCGTCTTATTTTGAAACTCCTTTGGTCAAACAAACGCTTTTATTGTGACATCCCGGAAGTTGTCGCGTAAACTTGGCACGTCTCCGTCTCCGGCAGAGCGGCCGTGCGCAGAGGAAACGCCGTTAGTTTACGCAGAGTTTGGGAAGTTTTGAGTTTTTTTGGGGGAGTTGGGGCAGGAGAAAAGTCGCGGTCCATGTCTGATCCCGAGCCGAAAACAGCGACCATCTGACCGACATGTCGCGAGAAAACACGACGCGGAGTCTGGACACCATAGACCTCGCTGCGTTACGCGTAAGTACCGCTTTTTGGACACTTTTCTCGGCGTGTAAAAAGTTTGCAGATTGTCAAGGGTCCAAACCGGGACCAAACTGGGACTAAACCAGGACTAAACCAGGACTAAACCATGACAAACCTGCACCAACAGCGTCTAAAACAAATGAAAACGCATAAAGTGATAAAATGCGACCGAATCAAAACTTTGCCAGATCTAAACAAGAACTAAACCAGGACTTAACTTGGGCTGACCTACTTGGTCTTGACCCGTAGGAAACCGGGACTAAACCAAATCTAAACCAGGATTTAACTTGGGTTAAACTACTAAATCTTAACCCGTGGTAAACCAGGACTAAACCATGTCTAATCCAGAACTAAACCAGGTCTAAAACGGGTCCAAATCAGGACTAACCCGGGTCTAAAACAGGACTTGACTTGGCCTGAACTACTTATTCTTAACCCGTAGTAAACCAGGACTAAACCACGTCTAAAGCAGAACCAAACCCTAAACCGGGTCTAAACCGGGTCTAAACCAGGACTAAACCATGTCTAAAGCAGAACCAAACCCAGTTTAAACCGGGTCTAAACCGGGTCTAAACCAGGACTAAACCAGCACTAAACCAAGGACTAAACCACGTCTAAAGCAGAACCAAACCCAGTCTAAACCGGGTCTAAACCAGGACTAAACGAGGACTACACCAGGACTACATCAGGACTAAACCGAGACTTCACCAGGAATAAACCAGGACTAAACCGAGTTTAAACCAGGACTAAACCGAGACTTCACCAGGAATAAACTAGGTCTAAACCGGGTCTAAACCGGGTCTAAACCGGGTCTAAACCGGGAAAAGCCCGGTCCGGAGCAGGACCTCTGCGTAAAGCTCGGGTCTGTGTCTGAGGAGGGAACCGTTACTTCCTCCGTGTTTGTTCAGCTTGTTTTTCTGTTTTCTGACGAAGACTCACGATTCTCCCTGCGCCAAAGCCGCTCTCTCTCTCTGCGCTTTTTACGGCTGTTTGTGGCGCTGTTTGTGGCGCTGTTTCAGGAGATCTTCAGCTCTGTTTGCGGAGCCGGCGCAGTTTGCGGCCGGAAAAGCGCAAAACATTCAACAAGTACCAAGAGTTTTGTGACTCATAAAATAAGAGACTTAACTCGTCTCAACTATTTTACAATTTAGGTTTAGACCTGGTTTAGTCCTGGTTTAGTCCTGGTTTAGTCCTGGTTTTAATCCTGCTTTAGACCTGGTTTAGACCTGGTTTAGTCCTGCTTGAGTCCTGGTTCAGATCTGCTTCCTGGTTTAGTCTTGGTTTACATCTGGTTTAGTCCTGGTTTGGTCCTGGTTTAGACCTGGTTTAGTCCTGGTTTGGTCCTGGTTTGGTCCTGATTTGGTCCTGGTTTAGACCTGGTTTAGACCTGGTTTAGTCCTGGTTTAGTCCTGGTTTAGACCTGGTTTGGTCCTGGTTTGGTCCTGGTTTAGACCTGGTTTAGACCTGGTTTAGACCTGGTTTAGTCCTGGTTTAGACCTGGTTTAGACCTGGTTTGGTCCTGGTTTTGTCCTGGTTTTAATCCTGCTTTAGACCTGGTTTAGACCTGGTTTAGTCCTGGTTTTAATCCTGCTTTAGACCTGGTTTAGTCCTGGTTTAGACCTGGTTTAGTCCTGGTTTGGTCCTGGTTTAGACCTGGTTTAGTCCTGGTTTGGTCCTGGTCCTGATTTGGTCCTGGTTTAGACCTGGTTTAGACCTGGTTTAGTCCTGGTTTAGTCCTGGTTTAGACCTGGTTTGGTCCTGGTTTGGTCCTGGTTTAGACCTGGTTTAGACCTGGTTTAGACCTGGTTTAGTCCTGGTTTAGACCTGGTTTAGTCCTGGTTTTAGTCCTGGTTTAGTCCTGGTTTAGACCTGGTTTAGTCCTGGTTTAGACCTGGTTTTAGTCCTGGTTTAGTCCTGGTTTAGACCTGGTTTAGTCCTGGTTTTAGTCCTGGTTTTAGTCCTGGTTTAGACCTGGTTTAGACCTGGTTTAGTCCTGGTTTATCCTGGTTTAGACCTGGTTTAGTCCTGGTTTAGACCTGGTTTAGTCCTGGTTTAGTCCTTTGTTTAGACCTGGTTTTAGTCCTGGTTTGGACCTGGTTTAGACCTGGTTTGGTAGACCTGGTTTAGACCTGGTTTAGACCTGGTTTAGTCCTGGTTTTAGACCTGGTTTAGACCTGGTTTTTGGTCCTGGTTTAGTCCTGGTTTTATCCTAGTTTAGACCTGGTTTAGACCTGGTTTAGTCCTGGTTTTAATCCTGCTTTAGACCTGGTTTAGTCCTGGTTTTACCTGGTTTAGACCTGTTTTAGACCTGGTTTAGACCTGGTTTAGACCTGGTTTAGACCTGGTTAGACCTGATTTAGACTTGGTTTTAGACCGGGTTTAGACCTGGTTTAGACCTGGTTTAGTCCTGGTTTAGTCCTGGTTTTGGACCTGGTTTAGACCTGGTTTAGTCCTGGTTTAGACCTGGTTTAGACCTGGTTTAGTCCTGGTTTAGTCCTGGTTTAGTCCTGGTTTAGTCCTGGTTTAGTTTCAGAGTTTAAGAGAGTAACTCTTTATTATTATCATCTACATCTTGATTTGATTTGATTTTACAGGAAAAACACATTTATTTTGTTGAAATAATGTTCAAAGTGTCAGAAAAATGTGTCTCTTGTGTGACATTTTTTATGTATTTTTTTAAATTCTTATTACAATTATGAACATAACAGCGACACAGAGGAGCAGAGACAGATTCAGGATCAAGTGCAGGTGAGATTGTTGTTGCACCACTTCAGTTATGACACATGTGGAGGGATGTGTGTTCAGAATGTAACCATGTCCAAATCCTTCTGTACCATTTTATCACGATATATCTGCCTCTTCAAAATATCACAATAAATACCTCAGCGTGAGATTCATAACTGTGGACAGGACACTTTTCTGCTTTTAAAAAAAAACATGACAAGATTTTGGTGTGAATTATTTTCATCATAATTCAAGTCAAAAACATGTTTCTTCATGTTGTCTGCACTGAAATGAATCATGGGAAATGTAGTTTCTGATGTTTATAAACGATATTATTGTGAGACATTATATATATATTGGGATGGGCATGATTAGTCGATTAATCGATAATTGATCATTAAGAATTTCATCGATTACGTTCATTTTAATCGACAAACTGAATGTTGCTGTGTGTGTCGTGACCAAACAGGTGTGTACATGTGTCTCTGCATCAGAAGGAGCGAGACACAAACAGTGGGTCAGTCTGTAACGAACCGAAGCACAAATGTGGATTTAACGATGATTTGTACAAGAAATTCCACACTTTCCGTTGCGTTGGGACAAGTGTGAGTCCATGTGCACAGTGGATAAAGCAGCACATATGTTTCTGTGTCCAGTGGGAAAAAGTTTTACCAGGTGAGAGTCGCTCAATGTGGATGACGAGGCCCCGCCCCCCTCCCCCCGTACGCTGTCCTGGTTTTGACAAACACAAATCTGGTCACACTGACCTGTATTCACCTGAGTCATGTCTTTTAATCCAACAGAAGTTGAACCACATCAGCGACACAAGAGCTGGAGTTTTATCTTCACTTAGTTTATGTAAATTAGTGATGTGGTTTTAAGTTTTGTTTCTGTGAGATTTGAACAAAACTGAATTAAACACATTATAATGTCAAACAGCTGATGTGGATCTAGAGTCGTTATGTTTATATGTCGTAAAGTTGAATTTATTTATGCAGATTAGTGCAGATAGTAATAATAATGATGATCATTTTAATATAAAAACGTTAATGATTAATCGATAATCGATCGTTAATTCTTCCGACGATCGATTAAGAAAATTTCATCGAATGCCCTTCCCGACTAGGCAGAAATGCTTACCAAAATAACAAACGTAACAGAATTTATGACTGATATGAACCATTTTTGGCCCCTTTTTAAACCCACTTGTAGGTGTAGGAAACCCTTACATTTTTTTGAGAATCAAGATTTGTACTAAGACTGTAAAAAAAAAAATCACCACATGTTGAAAATTTGAAATAGGTTAAAAACAGGTTGTTAAAAACAAGAAAATGTAACATGGTCCAACTTTCACATGTCATTTATGGCATGTGGGTAGTGATAAAAAGACCAGAAAAAAGACCTTTCGTATGATAACAAATAATATTTATGAAACTCCTTCAATTTTTAATTGTGTCTTGAACATTTGCGTTTGTGAGGTTCTGGTCAAAGGTCGACTACATGTACAAGTACGTTTAAAAAGGGGCTAAAAATGGTACGCCACGGAAACTAATGAGTTTTTATTTTTTATTTTTATGTTCATATAAAATGACAATGAGTTGAGATACCAAACTTTCAATAGATTTTATGTGAACACAGAGTAGAGGAGCACAAACCTGCAAAGTTTCAGCTCTGTGTCTGATACTTACGAAGATATCGACCTGTGAAAACGTCCGAAAAAATAACGCTCATTTTGGGCCCGTAAAAAGTAATGATCGAAAATCATTAAAACTTCCCAGGGTTGGTACATGACGGTGAGGGACTATTTGGTCATTTTTAACTTTTTTTTTTTTTTAGATCAAAGAGCGTGGGCCATTTGTTGGAATGGCGTGGAATTACTCTAAAGTTAAAGTTTTAACTTTAACTTTAGAGTCCTGGTTTAGACTTGGTTTAGACCTGGTTTAGACCTGGTTTAGACCTGGTTTAGTCCTGGTTTAGACCTGGTTTAGACCTGGTTTAGACCTGGTTTAGACCTGGTTTAGTCCTGGTTTAGACCTGGTTTAGACCTGGTTTAGTCCTGGTTTAGTCCTGGTTTAGTCCTGGTTTAGACCTGGTTTAGACCTGGTTTAGTTTAGACCTGGTTTAGTTTAGACCTGGTTTAGACCTGGTTTAGACCTGGTTTAGACCTGGTTTAGACTTGGTTTAGACCTGGTTTAGTTTAGACCTGGTTTAGTTTCCTGGTTTAGACCTGGTTTAGACTTGGTTTAGACTTGGTTTAGACTTGGTTTAGA